CATAGTGTCTAATTTCTTAAACAAGGAACAGGATTCTACTGTAGGATGTACCACCATTTATTTTCATTTCTATCCTTTATACAACCATCAGTCTTTTCCATGGGTAGTGGGGTAGGATCACATTTCACTGATCTCTGCATTCCTGGCTCTAAAAACACTGTCTGGTTCATAATAGGTGTAAAGCAAATCTCTGTTAAATGAATATACAACCATTCCTATATTGAGTATTCATGTGAAATCTTCCTGGGAATTAGGAACAAGTTGCATGAGGATGAGTATGTGTCTGAGTATCTACGTGAAGTGGGTTCTAGCTGAATTTGAAGATATGATTATTCACCTTCTGAATTCATTGTGATAATGATCTTTTTTTTTTTTTTTTTTACCATGGACAGTTGTTGTTGTTTGTTGTTATGTGCCATCGAGTCGGCCTCGACTCATAGCGACCCCTCCTTGGGTTTCCGAGGCAGTATCACTACGGAAGTAGGATTGCCCAACCTTCCTTCTGAGGAGTGGCTGGTGGGTTTGAACCGCCAGCCTTCTGGTTAGCAGTCAAGTGCTTTAGCCACTATGCTACCAGAGTAGGTATGATCAATTCTCCTGGTCACTAAGACCAGGGTCTTCTGGTCTCCATCATTAGGCCAGTTTTCTCCCTACTGGAGAAAACAAGGACCCCTAACCCTGCTCATTACCTGCTAATAACTTCCTTAGTGGGGCATCAGGCAAGCTTATCTTCCTTGAGGACCTGAGCAGCCAGGAGAAGGGAAGGAGATTTTATCTTGACCAAGACTGAGGAACCTCACAATGGTGAGGGAGTGAGGGCAATGAGGGAGTGGAGAAGGAGCTGGCTGGAAGACCATGGTTATGATTGAACACTAAGGATGAGCTATGGTGGCTCCAAGATGATGCTAAGTCAGGCACTGCCCTGCTGCTGGTGATAATGATGTCAGTGAGCAAGAGCACTCTGGAAAGATTTTTGGGTTTCTAAAGCCTGGGAACAACAACAACAACAACAAAGCCTGGGATAAAAAAACTCTGGTGGTATAGTGGTTAAAACATTTGGCTGCTAACCAAAAAGTCAGTGGTTTGAACCCACCAGCCACTTTATGAGAGAAAAGTAAGGCAGTCTTCTTCTGTAAAAATTTACAGCCTTGAAAGTTCCCCAGTTCTACTCTGTCCTGTAGGGTCACTATGAGTAGGAATCAACTAGATGGCAGTGGGTTTTTTGTTTTGTTGTTTACAGATGCATCCCCTTAGTACAGCCCCCTCAGCTGAGGCCTCCCTTTCCCTAAAATGATCTATTTCCTGCTCCTGAGATCAAGCAGATAGCTTACTGGACCCACTCTCTGGAGATGAGCTCTACAGTGGCAGGGATGACATTCCAGATGCCCTTACATGGAGGAGGGTGCTAGGTTAAGCTCAAGTCCAGAATCAAAGAAGTCTGCTCTGGGTCGCCTGGGAGCTAGTAAAGATTTGCCCTCCACATTGGAGTTTCCAACCCATTGACTCATTTCCTTCCTATTCTTTTGTCTCACTCCAGCAAAGTTCCACATAAGTCCCTATGAAGAGAAATGATGAGGGATATGTTTCATAATGTCAAAGACCATGAATCTAAATCAGTGTGTGAGCCTGTTCTTGTGTTCCTTTGCAATTATAGCATTAGACTCTCACTCTTTTGTATGGAATCCCAGAGATTTAGTTTCTGAAAGGATATTCTGAGGTCCTCTAGTCCTTTTCTTCTTTCATTGACTTAGTTCAATGGTTTTCAAAGTGTAGTGCATAGCATAGTGCCTAAGGCACTTGACTGCTAACCAGAAGGCCGGTGGTAGTGATACTGCCTCTGAAACCCAAGGAGGGGTCCCTATGAGTCAGTTTGATTCGACAGTACATAACAACAACAACAACAGTGCATTAGATTAGTAGCATTTGCATCACCTGGGATTTGTTAGAAATGCAAAATTTCTGGCTCTAAGCCAGCCTTAAATTAGAAATTCTGGGGATGGGACCCAATAATTTGTGTTTAATTAGCCCTCCAGGCTATACTGATACAACCTCTAGTCTGAGAACTACTGCCTTAATGCAAGACTGCCTTGAGAAGGATGGTTGTGAATTTGACCAATGTTAACTCCTCTTGGGAGGCTATTCTATCTCCTCACTAAGGTATATCTTTTTGTCTCCCCAAGACTTTGGCCTTTGCTGACAGATCTCTTCCTGCAGAATTCCAGAAAAGGTAGATAACAGCGGAAAGAAAAGTAATTGGGTTAGTTGCTTTCCAGATATGTAGGGGTGTCAGTTCAGGGTTTTGCTGCAGGCATGTAGCAGATTTCTTTTCTAGTTAGTGTAGATTTTGGCGGTGGGTGATCTATGAAGATTGCACTCTGACCACCAATAGAGTATTTCTTTTTGTCTTTAAGAATCTCAGATGCACAGAATTAGGTTAATCATAATCCTTGGTTCATGACAAATGGTCATCATCAGGCCATGCATGGCTACTTTTTAAGTTATTTAATAGATTGATATGAATATTTATCATTTTACTTATTAATATGATTTATTTCTTGAATGATATAATGATTTTTTTTAACATAATGAATGAACACCTGTAACTTGCCACCTAACTCAATAACTAGAATGTAGATGAAGTAATTATTATTAACCAGACTGTAAATAGTACCTAGAAATAAATGTATTATTATTT